GATCTTTCCAATAGGATAATTGCCAAAAATACTTTTCATATGCCAATTATGATGAACTCCATAATCTTTAGGCATATTTGCAGGAGTGTGCCAGTTTCCCCCATGCATTACTGTTTTCTCTGCCCCCCAATGCTCGATTTGCACATGTATATCAGCTCTTGTTAAATTTATGGGTGGAGGGACACATACACTTTTGTTCTTCCTAAATAACTTCTTGTTCCTCCGATATGGATGGTTATCCGGTAAAAACCTGCGGTGACAATCAAACCAACAAGTTTTTCTACCATGTTTTAGCTGAAACACATCAGTTCGATCAAGACAATAAGGACAAGATAACCTCCCATGTGTAGTCCATCCTGATAGCATACCATAAGCAGGGAAATCGCTTATTGTCCACATAAGCACAGTCCGCAGAGTAAAAGTTTTTCCCGTTGAACAGTCATATGTGCGAACGCCGGTATAGCATAACTGATTCAACTCATGTATAAGTGGCTGCAGAAATACATCGAGAGCTCACTTCAGATGATTAGGACCTGGAACCAAAATACTAAGGAAAAGAAATTTCCTTTGCATGCAGATATCTGGAGGAAGGTTATACGGGGTTAGGATTACTGGCTATAATGAATATTGTCTACCAGACATACCAAATGAACTAAAAGCATCAATGCACATACCAAGATAGATATTCCGTTTGAACTTAGCAAAATCTGGGTATACCGTATTGAAGTATTTCCAGGCCTTTGCATCTGATGGATGAACAACTTTTCCATCTACTTGTGTATGTTCCGCATGCCATCTCATTGATGCAGCTGTCTTTTCAGATTGATAAAACCGTTTCAACCTATCAGTTATAGGGAGATACCGCATACGTTGGTACGGTATCCTTTTACGCCCACCAGTTTATGGCCTGTATCTTGGTTTTTGGTAAAATCGACATTCCTCCAGCTGATCATCATCTCTCCAGAAAATCATACAATTGTCAACACATACATCTATCATCTCAGAAGGTAGACCAAGACTAAATATCAACTTCTGTATTTCATAGTATGTTGCCGCTGCCAAGTTATCCTCCGGTAGATACTCTTTCAGAATATCAGCCCAATCATCCATGCAAACCTCAGCCAAGTTATGATCTGTTTTAATTGACATCATCCTAGCTGCCAACGATAATTTAGACAGACCTTCTCTACATCCTTCGTAGATTGGCTGATTACAATTGTCTAACAAATCATAAAATCGTTTGGCATCTACATTAGGTTCCTCAACAGGCATTACCAGTATACGTTTCATGAAATGCATCAGTCACCATCTCATGCATCCTATCATGATCTAGACCTTGATCAGATTGATAATGATTAGGCTGATAACCATAATTTGATTCATCAAAATCAACATGACTTTGATAATTACTACTACTACCAGCATGCCCATGAGTATTACTGCCATATCCTTCTCCATGTAGATACCAAACAAAATATTGCAGCAAAAACCCTCTATTTAATAAATGCGTCCACACGGTTTTGGTTAGTGTATACCTTGTATTCTTGCATTTCAAACAAGGACAAAACATCTTCCTGCTTTCTTTTGTTCTCTCCATATTTGTGGCCTGATACATGAATATTTCTAATCCGTTCTTGAATTTTTTTGTCAACACCCATCTGAATCTTTACGCATATACATCCAGCTTCTTAGTTCGTATATAGACATCTTGAAAATAACTCAAAAAACTATCTCTCTCTATTGCTTAGACAATATAAGAGAGGGTCTCTTGTGTCACGTGTAGCCGCGTGAATGGAGAATCCTTTTTATATTATTACTTCTTTTTTCAAAGAAATTACTACTCATTCGAGTTTCCAGCAATGGACAACCCATTATATCGGGTTTTAAAACACTATAATAAGGTTTAAGAGACCTAAAATGGGTCTCCAGGATGCTGATGTTCTTATGTTTGAATGATGATGTGTTGTGAATGAAAGAAGAAATGAAAATGTATTTATAACTAAATTTCGGACTTTACGACGTTTTTACGATGGTTTTTTACATCAATTTTACATCCAACCTTCATATTACGACGATTTTACGTTGATTGTGCGATAAAATATTTCATCGACATTAGTTAGGTGAACATGTTTTAAATGTTTTTCGCATACCTTCTTTGTCGACGTAAAATCATCGTAACTGTACATCAGATTTTAATAGTCGTAAGTTCGTCGTAACGTTACATCCATTTTACGACGATTTTGCATTAAATATCAAATATCTCTTTCTCGATGTATAATCGTCGTAAAGCGTCGTAGATTATACGTCGAAGTTACGAGGATTTGTTTTTACGACTGTTTTACGACGTTCTTTTTTTCTCGTAAAATCGTCGTAAAATCGTTGTATATTTGCGACGATTTATAAACCGTCATAACAGACCATTGGAAAACGATTCTTTTCTTGTAGTGCATGTCCGCAACTGCTCGGTATTCGGCTTTTGTAGAAGAGCAATCCACCAACTTCTACTTTTTAGAAGACCATGCAATCGGATTTGAACCGAGATAGACAATGTAGGCTGATGCAATGGAAAACGGGGGTGTGTTTACTAACCTTCATGTTCTAAATTTATAACCCCTTAATGTCTGCAAGTGCACATATGTGTGTTGTAGTACTTAGGGTTTCGATCCACAAATACTTAATTTCTTCAGTACAAATTCACGCTAATGCTTAAATCAGACTAGAACTAAACAATTTGGGTTGTTTGTTTGGATGTCACTAAATCTAAACTAGAAGGTAAGTAAAAAACAATTGAAAATGAAAGCAAGTAAAGGCAAGTAAAAATCAAAGGTGTAAACAAATAAAAACGAACACTGGACTTGAGGATATTCACAGGGATTCATGGAATAAACCTAATTACAGAAATAAATAATTAATGTAATCGACTAGGGATGTTCTAGGAATTGAGCACGGTAGTATGACTAGCCTACTCTCGCAGCACTAACTAACTGTCAATCATGACCCTGACCAATAGCTTTCGACTCTAGCCCCAGCCATAATTGTACGCAATAGTTTGAACAAGATTCATCTACATTCACAACTCATTCATAGGTGGGTTTCCACTCCTATGGCAGAATTGCTCGTTTCACCCTATGTCAGACAACTAATGAAAACTTTCGCAACACCAGTCATCAAAATCGCATTCTAAGTGGCCAGAAAAGAATCACACAATAAGTATAAAGGTAAACGAAAAACACCTAGAAGATTTTTTTTTTGGTCAAAGAACACCTAGAAGATTATAAATCCTAAATGTAGTGATTCATAGAAAAAACACATGAAATTCCCTTTGAAAAATCCATTTAAACCCAACTGGGAAACTACTCAGACATGGCGTATGTAAACATCATAGAGTAATAGAAAATCGCTGAAAATTAAATAGAACAAGGAAGAAGAACTAGAAAACAGAGTCGACGGTGGAGGCGATATGATGCTCTCCTCAATGGCTCCAAGACGGCTTCTCTCTAGGGTTTCTGTAAAATGAGGCACACACACAAATCTCTCTGCACACCCTCTCAAAATGACTTAAAGGAGGTATTTATAGCTTGTAGAGTTGTCTTGGACACTTAGAGCTTCAACAATAATGACATGATCAACTGGCCGCGGTCGCAGTGGTTGTATCCGCGGGGAAACATGGTTTGGCTGCGGTCACGACTCATGGTCTCCCTCGAGACTGTATTTACTGTCTTTAGTGCATCGAGGTTATCTGAAGATATAACCGTTGGATTGTCTCCAAACCAATTTCATTAGAAAATTGGTTATCTCTTCTATATTGTCTTAAATTACCCGAGAAAATGTATAAAAAGATGATGAAACAAAAGCATAGATGTGGTTTAGCCATGTTCGATTCTGTTTGACGTGCGAAAACTCTTCGCTTACATAAACTCAAAAACTAGGGCGAAACTCAAATGTCAATGAGGTAAAGACTAAATTACCCCTAATAGTATTCTAATATTCCGAAATTACCCTCATAAATTTTACTCGGTGTCTGCGCCTCTACTCCAAAACTCAACCATCTCTACCCAAAAGAGCAAAACTTGATCTCAATTTCGATATAAAGAATGCTCCTTTCGATGTCTATCGAATTTAAGGTGGTGGTGAAGTCACTTACCATGGCCCTGGTCAGGTCAAACTATCTCAACAACACATTGACTCTTCCTCTGTTTTTTTTTTTATGAAAATTAATCAGTAAGGATGTGTGGCTGGCTTGAGTGAATGTGGTTGTCTGGAGGAGATCGTAATTCGTGTTCTATCCTCAATTTTCTCCATCAAAGGTTCTTGTCTTGATGGTTTAAACTCGAGTTTGGGTCCATGTGTTCTTTATCTCAGGATTCTCAACATTGTATTTAGTTAGATAATAGGTTTGTGTGTTCTGTTGTGATCTATTTCCGTCTGCAAAATTGTATAAGATCTTAGTATGATCTGTGACCTAGAATCATATGTTTGTTGATTGATAGATAAGAAGTACAATGTTTTTTATATTCGAACAGTTGAAGTTGTTTTGTTTTTGTGAAATGTTTGGCTAAGACATTTGTTTTTTGGTTTAGGCAAAGATTGATTCAAAGGAAAGTGTGAGGCCGGTTTATCACTTTGCTACTATTTTGGACAATAGGAGATGAAGCTATGCCATTTTTTGACTACTAGCTAAAGCCAATGTGGACGAAGCTAAACATTTGGATTCTCTTTGTCGACGAAGTTAATCTTTTGGATGACCATTTGGTTGATGTGTTTCCTGATTTGGCTGCAACGGAATGATGATAAGGTTCTTAAACGGAGACGAAATGTCCCTGAAATTGATGACATTCTGAATACGTGAATTCTTCAGTAAGCAATTTAGGATCCAAGTTTGAAGGTATAAGTCATCAATTGAAGCCCATCGTCAAGTTTTAAGCCTAGCTTGGATCCTAAATCGCTCATTGAAGAACCCAAGTATCCCAATTGTCATCAGTTTCAGGGATATCTTCGTCTCCATTCAAGTACCTAAACAGGGTTTGATAGATATAGCTTCAAACTTGGATCCTAAATTGCTTATTGAAGATTTCACGTATTCAGAATGTCATCAAACAGTATTCAAATTAAAAGCAAACAGTATTCTGACTTGGTATGCTTAGTGATCATTGCAGTCTCTATCAATGTTCTTCAGTTAGCATTTTGCACTAATGCTTCAATGATTCTTGTTACACATCTAAAATATGATTTATGAGATTGTGGGTTATGCAGGAAACTTTTTGTGGACCTGGTGCTAATAAGAAAACAGAGGATTTTGTTTGGCTGTTTGTGACCTTGTCTGCTTCTTGTAGATATTTGTGTGAGAGTTTGGTCTCTCTCTCTCTCTTTTTCTCTCTCCATACTGTAAAATTTTCACCTCCAAAGAAAGCTTATCTGCTTCTTGGATTGATGGCTCTGGATACTGCTTTCTCCATTAGGTTTTGCTCATTCCCTGTCCCCAAAGCAATCCCCTTTGAGAAAGAAACCTCATCATTTCACCGAATCATCACCTCGGGAGCAAAGAGAATCGCAGGTGACAGTGAAGTTGTCGAACCCAAGAAAAGGATAAGCTCTGATCGCTCGACAAAGATTAAAGGAGATAAGCAGGAGATTTCAAGCCAGAAGAAAGCTATTGTAGATAGGAGCAAGGCCTTAGTGAAGCTGAAATCTTTAGGAAAAGAAGTGAGAGACGCAGGCTATGTACCAGATACTAAGTATGTTCTTCATGATATCGATGAAGAAGCTAAAGAGAAAGCATTGATGCATCACAGTGAACGGTTAGCTATTGCTTTCGGGCTTATAAACACGCCTCCTGGGACTACGATAAGGGTGATGAAGAACTTGAGGATATGTGGAGATTGTCACAACTTCATAAAGAGATTGTCGAGTATTGAAGATAGAGAGTTCATTGTAAGAGATAACAAGAGGTTTCATCATTTTAGAGATGGTAGCTGCTCTTGTGGAGATTATTGGTAGAATTTTTGTATGAAAAGATTGTGAATTTATAACAAGTTTCACTATACTGTTCTCATTTTTATTGCTCCTAGTTGAAACAAAAATTGAAAATTTGAAACCAAGATCGTAAATTGATTTCTTTACTAAAAATACTATACTAAGATCAAGCCGCCGTCTGTGGGGATCGAACCCACGGCCACGGGATTAAAAGTCACGCGCTCTACCACTGAGCTAAGACGGCTTTTGTAAATTATGTGAAGTATTATTAATTAGATCAAATAAATCGTATTACAATACACACTTTCTATATACATATCATTAATCAAACTCTCATTGGCTTTCCATTTCCTTTTTCTTGATAGACTTGTGCAAGGAATATACATAAGATGAAAACCCAAGTATCCCAGCTAACAAAGCTCCTCCCTTAAACCATTCAATGTCATCATCCATAAACTGAAACGCCAACACAACGAGAATATTTGCTAAAGGTGTAGCGCAGAAGCTGACGACATTAGAGAAAAGAGAAGAAGCCAAACACACAAGACCCACAAGCCCTAAAGACATTACTTGCCACGCAAGTGATAATCCGATTAGACTCAAAACGTACAGTGGTTTCCCATGCTTAAACGTCTCAAAATCTTCCTTGATATCTTTGAATTCTCGGCTTACAAATAATCCAACCAAACATATGAACGTTGCAATCACAGAAGCGTTGGTTTGCATCATCAGGACCGCGGAAACTTTACTCTCACTGTTAGGTATGACCTTTTGGAATCCTAATTGCATGATACATAGAGATAAAGAGAAGGCTAGCGTACCAAAGAAGGCACACCACGCACCATAACTCATTTTCCAGCCTTCACCTTCGCAGGGATAATAGGCATCATCTGAAGATGTTATGCCTGTGGCAACTCCAGAAAGGATGATGGATAATATAATCCAACGGTTAAATTTGTGTTTGTTGATAATTGCTGTAAATATGGAAGTGAAAATCAACTGTGTTGTAAAGATCCAAAAGAAGAACACACAATGCGTTCTTCCAATTGCATAGAGTTGACTATAAGCAGCAAAAAGTACGCCAAGAGAGATGTAAAGAAGAAAGAGTTTGCCAAAAGAAGAGCAAGAAGAAGAAGAATAAGAAGAGGAAGAAGAGAGAGTTTCTCTATGGTTGGAGAATAAAGAACGCCATAAGAGGAGAAGAAATGCTGTAAATGGAAACGCAGCGTTTTGGACCATAGACATAAGCCATGTGCCCTTAAACTGTTTTGGGTCGTCACAAACATCTCTTCCTGTTTGGATGAAGTAGAAGTTTAGAAGAAGTGTGGATAAAACTCGTCCGGTTACGACCAAACCCGAACTGATAAAGATCCAGATCCACCAGTTTTGTGTCTCAAAAATTTGTGACCGATCAAGTAGAGCTCTTGGTTGATTCTCATCTCCAATAGTAGCTTCTTCTCTTTCTAAACCAAGCAACATAAAAAAAAAATGTTTTGATTATACGAATTAATACATGTTATCGCTGTGACATGAATTTACATATATACCTTGTGTTATTCCGTCCGAAGATTTGTTGTGGAAGCCCATGAAAATTTCTTGTGAAGAACAGGCTATAGGTTTTTGATGAAAAGGTTACCTTGTTTTCAGTAATTTGTACAGAAAAGTCAGAGATGGAATTTGCTCATACAAATATATAGAGAGGAACAGAGTAAGAGACCATGACTTTGCATCATGTATATGTATTTATTTAACGAAAATTACATTTATGTATTAGTGATATATATGTATGATCGATATACAGTCAAATAAGCAAGATTAAAGTATATATAGTCAAACATGCCAGCCAATATAATGATGAGCGATTACTCAACTGGTAAAGCAATTCAACGCGGTGCACATTATGTACCAATATTGTTTTATATTGTTTTTTTTTTGTCGGCATTATTTTCTATTGTTTAAAAAGATTTGATCGTAGTTCGTACGTAATGCTTCGAACTAATCTAAATAAACAACACAAATAATAAAATATAATTAAATAATTCGTACCATTTTGAATAAGTTTCCGTGGCCATATTGGGGTTGTTTTGTCCGATTATGTATTACTTTATATTTTTAATTATATCAAGTTCCATATATATTATGTATGAGTTGTGTAACGTTTTTCTGGGTACTGACGTACTGTATGAGTTAATTATTCACACTTTTTAATGCTTATATTTAACTTATCAACAGTTTTTGTTTTAGCCAATTTGATCAACAATTTGCAGTTTTCGGTCTTCATTTTCAAATATTTTTTTTACTTTTCAATTTGATATTAATATTGTCACAGTTCGCGGTTCGCCCATTTATTCCAACGATTATCGATCAACATGTATTTTTCTCATGAGATCAACTAGTTAATAATCTTGACATTTCTATTCACAATCTTTTTATTTAATGAGAACTATGATCAATAGTTGTGCACAAATATATATATATATATATGACAACAAGTTGACACGACATGGTTCAGTAAAATAAATTTATCTACCATTGATAACACCGTATTTTGATCATTTTTATGGATCGTTTTGAAATACTTTTTCTATGTTTTTAATTGCTTTTAAGTACTATTATTACGTTTTTTTAGTATTTGTAGTTCCAATACTCTTTTCAGGTAATTTAGGGAAAATCTTAACAAAATGGATAGAAAACCAGATTTGAGCTCAGAGTTAAACCGTCAGAAGTTCACCCCCGATTGAAGGCCTTCTCACCGTCTGATCCAGCTCAAATTTGGAGATCTTAAAGATGGAAGTATCAGCTTTCCAGCACACTTTACAGCTTGGCAATCCGACAGTTCAATCAAAAGATACGCGAAGAGCAAGATGTCCCATAAACCAGCCGGCAAGCGTTTCCACCTGCGGCCAACAGACCATTCCCCGCGGTCACAGCCATCCCGACCGCAGCCAGCCACCCATTCCCCGCGGTCACACACATCCCGACCGCGGCCAGCTGATAACTAAGAGTTTTCAAGGCTCTTTATAGAGGTTACCAATCCCCTGTCTTGTAGTACAAGGGGTTTATCAATCCAGATGTGGTGTTAGACACTAAACTATGTAATCAGGTTCTTAATTCAAGAAAACAAGAGTGGTTTTGATTATCTAAAGACAACTACAAACTTAAATAGGATTAAAGACTAATGAAATGATTAAAAAAGAACTAAACAAATGACAAATGATGAGAATGTATGAATGATGATGAGAAAGGTCTTAGACATGATAGTGGATTAGGGTGCCTTCAGTGATAAACTAATGAGCTAATGAATCATATGATCAAGCAAACCATTCAACATAAACATCTTTAATTAAGTTAATCCTCTCATGAAGGTATTAACTTCTATGCTAAAATAGTTTCTAATCCAATCATCATCAGTAAAACATGAGTTAACAAGCATTAAGAATCAGTTTAATCTGTGCATATAGACAATCATTCCCATGATGAATAACACTTAAACCTCTAACAACCTTGGTTCAGGCATTTCATCAAACACTTTTGGTGCATGAAATGCCCAGAATCTAGACCACATATGATTTGTATGGATCTAGCATAGAGAACAAGTTGTAGAGAAATGAATATGCATGATCTAACCCCTAAGCTCACTAATCTACCACTTAAGTACCCTAATCTACATATCTAAGACCTTAATATGAGATTACTCACTAATCATGATCAACACACTAGATCCTTTGCAAGATGTGTTGTTAATCATGATTAGAAGTGTGTTTTGATGATAAGAAATGATAAAATAAGATGAAAAAGACTCTTCAAATCGATATTAAGCTCAAAAGTAAAGTGTAACAAGTGGTCTTTCACAAAAAGGGAAAAGAGACTAAAAATGGATAAAAGGTTCTCTCTAAATTAGGTCTAAAATCCTTATATAGTTGTCTTGGGTGAAGCGGGTCAACTCGGAACAAACCGGGTACTGACCCGGTCTTGGTGGGTGAAGATGGGTTTGCCACGGTCAAGTGTGTTCTTTGAGTGGCCGTGGCAACTTGACCGTGTCAAAGCTTTGTTCGCGTGTTCTTGGCCGCATTTTGATGCCACGGTCTAACAAGCCTCGTCCAAAACCCGTGGCAAGTGGTCGTGTCAAACGCCGAAGGTGTGCAAAAGTTGCCACGGTCAAGTCCCAGACCGTGGCATTCAGACCGTGTCAAAACCCGAATGCTCGTAAAGTCCTTCCCAGCCAAGTGTTTGTTTGCCACTGTCAAGTCCCAGACTGTGGCATTCAAACCGTGTCAAAACCCGAATGCTCGTAAAGTCCTTCCCAGCCAAGTGTTTGTTTGCCACGGTCAAGTCCTAAACCGTGGCATTCAAACCGTGTCAAAACCCGAATGCTTGTAAAGTTCCTCCCAGCCAATTGTTTGTTTGCCACGGTCAAGTGTAGACCCTGGCATGAAGATCGTGTCAATCGCCGAAGATTTGCAAAAGTTGCCACGGCCAAGTGTGGACCGTGGCATTCCATCGCGGCATGTTTCACTTAGCTCGCATCATTCAGGGCTGTCTGGAACAGTTCGCATTCCGGAGAATGTAACTTCTGAGATACTTGTCCGAATTGAGTGAGTCCGGTTGCAGAGGACAGAGGACTCATATATCTCCAACTTTGGTGAAGGAAGCTGCGGTGCTTGGGAAGTAGAAGGCTTCCTGGAGGGCTCATCTTTGCAGTGAATTTACACGATCAGAGAGAGACGTCTATACATGTGTCCATTCCGGAGACCGTATTTTTCTGCTCATAGCTCCGAATTGAATGATCTCGGATGTTCTGTAAAGAGGACTTAAATGTCTCTGATTCTCATGAAGGCTCTGGAAACTGAATCGGCCTGGAAGTGCACCGTCCTTCGAATTCTTCAGAGCTCATCGGCTTGGTCCAAAATAGCAGCGAGACAGGAGTTTCTTCCGACGAGCTTAACTATCTGCTCACGCGTCCGAATTCCATGATTCCACTTGCTATGGAACCGTGATCCAATCCTATCCAACTTTGATGAAGCACCCGCCAACTGAATCGGACCGGAAGATTCCCCGGACAGGCGATTTCGGAAACGTGTCTGCACCCGGAGATTTTGGCCGATACAATCCATTCGCGGTACACGTTTTGGCCGATAAGGTCTACCCGCGGTACATGAAAATGGCCGGTAAAAACCTTCCTGGTACGCGAGAATGGCCGATAACCTCCAAAAACCCAATTTCACCGTTTTTCAAGCCTTGATCACCATTCCACCTCCTGGATTCATCTTTTCAGCTCCAAATACACCTGATAAACACTCAAAACATGCAAAGACTCATTGGGACCTAATGCATCTCCTAAGTTCTAAAACAAACCCTAAGGACCTAAAATGCATGAAATAAAACATGATTTGGAATGAATTATGCAACCTAAATGATGCAAATTATGAACATATCAACTCCCCCACACTTGTCCTTTGCTTGTCCTCAAGCAAACAAGAACAAATGAGAGAGAGAGAGAGGTTGAATGCATGGGAGTTCACATTTCCTTTTTGAGAGAAGTGATCACAATGAGAATTCAAGTTCATGCTCAATTATGCAATGCAAAGCCATACTCAGATATATATCAACTCAGCAAGGAATCTCCACAAGTTCTTCTCTCTCTCAACTCTTTCACATTCATTAAGTTTTTATCAGGTGAATCTCATGATGCAATGTTTAAACAAGCTGGCTTGGATAGGGAGATGCTATGAGATTAAAATGATCTCATTAGTGTTCAAATGGGGTTTAATCCAGCAAAGGGATCTCTCTATGAATGATCAAACTTTGGCAGAATGCTAAAGATAAAAACCAACCTATGCATACAAGGGCAAAGACTCATCACACCCCACCCTCTACTCAAAGCTTTCTCACTTGCTCACTCTCTCAAGAACCTCACTTTTAACACTTATCTTCCTCTCACTAGGGGACTTACTTTTCACTTTCACTCTCAAGTCTTGGAGTTCAAACTTTACACAGCTCTTTTTCTTTTGCAACCTCTAGCCTCTTTTTTTTTTCTTTCTTTTCAAAACATTTGAGCTGTTTGGCTTCTTTTCTTTTCTTTTTACTTAGAGGCTAGACTCTTTCTTTTCAACTCACCAGAGCTCACTTTCTTTAACTCAAAACTCCAAGACTGATTTCTTTTTCTTTCATTCCCCTAGCTATTTCCACTCTCTCTTTTCCACTCATCTCACCTTTTTCCACTCACCAACAAGTCTTTTCCCCCACACTTATTCCTTGCCAACACTCTCAGTTCCTTGATGTTGGAACACAGCACTCAATGAGACCTGACCTTGTCGCTCTAAACCTAACACTTTCTGCTAAGTTTGATCCAAGGTGGCCTTTCAATTCACACACAAACATTGGCTTGAAAGAAGGATGGGTTCAAGGTGAGGGAACTGATCCATGATGTGGATTCAGCTACTTGAGCTAAGGAAAAAGGGTGGTAAAAACAATGGTTCTAGCTCAAGTATGTATATCGGTATCCACAAGCTTTTTCAAACAATGCATCACAAGATATTTTCAAGTCAAGTTCAAGGTTCCCACTTAATTAGAGTTGAGTTCAATTCAAACTTGCTTCTCAGATTCAGATCATTTCAGACTTTGCAAGCACAGAAAAAGATTCACAAGCATATTCAGTTCAAGTTCTCAAAGTGATTTACTCTCTAGAAAACCTATCATTACTCCCTGCAAAATGCAACCTACATGAACATGCAATCTAGACTCAATCCTA